TCATCGGGTCAATAGTAAATAAATTGACTTACATTGCTAAAATCCGGCATTCAAGTCCCGCAGTGGCCAGAGTGTAGACAGGCTGTTCTATAGCTTTGTACTAAGGAAACAATAACATCATCTTTATATACAGAGAGTTTCTTTCCATTTAAAAGATAAGTTCTCAGTTCTACATTAAGAGGTTCAAAACAAAAACATATCTTCTCCCTTTGGTACCTGCTCTAAGATGACAAGTAATGCGTCTATATTCTTCAGGCATTGTGAACTAGGTAACTATGCATTGACAGCAAGAAGAATGGAAGGTTCCTTTTAAGACATACACAGCGTGGTCACAAGTAAATACACACCACCTTTTCAGAAAAAATGAAAATTTTCAGTCATATTCCCATGAATTGATATATCTATAATTTAATTAATATCTAGTAGATCTTCCTTTCGCTTAGTGGAGTTCGTTTATCCTTTGGGGCATCGTGAGAATCATCTCGTCAATTTTAGATTGTGAGATTTTCGCCAACTCTTGCTTCAAAAGTTGTAGTAGATCGCTCTTCGAAGTTGGTTTTTTGGTTGTTTCTTGACTTGCCGGTCGAGTATGGCCCAGAGGTTTTCGATGGGGTTCATGTCAAGAGATTGGCTCGGCCAGGGCAACTTCTGGATACCATTTTCTTCCTGCCAATTTTGGGTATTTCTAGCAGTGTGACACGGTGCTCCATTGTGTTCTTGTCCACGAAACCCGAGGAAAAAAAGTGGCAAGAGTCCTTCCTCCAATATTTCGACGTATTTCGCAAAATTTATGTTGCCAACGCACTCCACTAGGCTCGATCTCCCACCAACTCAAACAACTCCCCAAACCATCACGCTGAAACCATCATGCTTCACAGTTGGTTGCAATCTGTTGGGCCAAAACTCTTCGTGAGACATTCTCCAGACCAATATCCTTCACTATCCGAAAATTGAGCGAATCTTGATTCGTCTGAGAACAATACGGTCTTCCAAAAGTCCAGAGGCTTGGTCATCATATCACTTGCCCACTTCTTTCATATGACTATGTTGGCAAGTCTTAATAAGGGCTTCCGTCTAGCTGTTCTGCAACGATAACCCAATCTGTGAAGAATCTGTTGAACAGATTTCGGGCTCATCCCACCAACTTTGTCCACTTCTGCAGTCGTTAATCTGGGATCCATTTCAATGCTCCTCTTGACAGCCCTTTTTGTCCGCTCCGATGGACCAGGACAACCCGGACGCTACTCAGTTGTTTCCTTGTTGTGTTTCCTGAACTGCACGATGATTTTGTTGTATTGT